CCAAGTTGAAGGTGAAGTGGCTTGTTACAAAGAGAAAGAAGAAAAATTGAACAAGCTAGAAGGTGAACTTGCAAAGGAAAGAAGGATTATTCAGAAAAGAGCCAAGAAACTGGAGGGTTTGATTGCAATGTACAATAAGAGGATGAAGTTGCAAGTTGGAGTCTTTATGGTCATACTTCTGTTCATTGCCATATATGTCATGAAAATTGGCATAGAAAGGGGGTATATGTAATGTTTTGTTTGAATGTGGATGTTGTTTCTAATGTTTTGTTTATGGTTAATTATCAGCTGTTAGGAATTGGAATTCTTGTAATGGTGGATTTGGTAATTTGGTTGTAGTTCTTGAATTTTGGTGAATTTGGTGAATTTGGTAGTGATTCTTGAGTTTGGTGAATTTTCAGTTGTTAGAAGTTCTTGTAATGGTGAATTTGGTAATTTAGTAATAATTCTTGAGTTTGGTGAATTTGGTAGTGATTCTTGTATTGGTCATTTGATGATTCTTGTACCTTGTATGTATTGATCAATTATAGAACTTATATATACATAATTAAGCTTTCAAACATTCAATAACTTAAAAGAGTCATCAAACATCTCATACATAATTAAGCTTTCAAACATTCAATAACTTAAAAGAGTCATCAAACATCTCATACAAACCAACTGTGTTCAAATTCAAACAAATCAAACATCTCAAACAAACCAACAAACCATCAAACTGTGTTCAAATCCAAACAAATCAACAAACCATCAAACTGTGTTCAAATCCAAACAAATCAACAAACCATCAAACTGTGTTCAAATCCTAACAAACCATCAAACATTAAACAACCAAATATTCAACATTCAAACATCAAACTAGCTAACAAACAAACAAAATAACAAAAGTACAATCTTGTTCAAACTTGATCACTTCTTCATCTTGGAGGCTGACTTGGAAGCAACTACTGACTTGGAAGATGCTTGGAAGCACTAGATGCCTTGGAATTTGTGATGGATGCAGAGGCTGACTTAGAAGAACTTGCACCAATTTCAGAGCCTGAGTTTCCCTTCAGTTGATTGGTCACTGATGATGCTAAATTGGATAGTGTTATGAAATTAACACCTCCTTTTACAATCATTGGAGCCTGGATTGTTGGAGAA